GCGGGAAGAGGATCGATCGCGTCTCCACTGATGTTGCCACAGGTGAGGGACTGCAGGTGTCCCCCAGGGCCTCTCAGGGAGCGGGGCTGGAGTGGGGTCCAGGGGCAGCCTGGAGGAACTGGGGGGCTGGGCTGTACTGGAGGGGACCAGAGAACTGGGGGCAACTGGGAGGACCCCGGGCACTGGGGAGAACTGGCAACGGGGTGATGTAGGGGGAACTGGGGGCAACTGGGGGCAATTGGGGGCAATCGGGGGCAATCAGGGACTGGAGAATACTGGAGATTGAGGGGAGCACAGCACTTGGAGGGACTGGGGGCAATTGGGGATTGGGACAAACTGGGGACCACTGGAAGGAATTTGGGGAATCTGGGCACCGGGGGAACTGGGGGGAACTGGGGACAGCTGGAAGGAACTGGGGGGATCTGGGCCCTGGGGGCTGGGGGGAACTGGGTAGAACTGGGTCCTGGGGGAAACTGATGGGAACTGGGGGACTTGGTGGAATTGGGGAATCAGGGGGAAGGGGGGAGGAACTGGTGCCTGGGGAAGACTGGGAGCTGTGGAGAACTGGTGTGAACTGAGGAGTGGGGGAACTGGTGGGAAATGGGGACTAGGGGGAACTGGGAAAACTGGGTACTGGGGAGAGCTGGGGCAAAGAGGCTGGGGGAATTGGGGACTAGAGTGGAGCTGGAGACTGGGGGGACTGGGGGAAACTGGGCACTAGGGAGAATTGGGGGGCTGGGGGAAACTGGGGGGATCTGGGGGCTGGGGGGAACCAGAGGGCTGGGGAGGTCTGGGAGAACTGGGGTACTGGGGGGACCTGTAGCAAAAAGGAGACTTGGGGGGACTGAGGGGAACTGGGGGGAACCAGGGACTGGGGGAAACTGGAGATTAAGGGGAATGCAGCAATGGGAGAGATTGGGAGAAGATGTGGAGACTTGGGACAATTGAGGGGTGTGGGAAACTGGAGGGAAGAGGGGACTTGAGGGAACTGGGGGGAACTGGGGCCTGGGGGAAACTGAGGGGCACTGGGGCCTCTCTGCTGGGGTGCAGTGTGTGGGTGGGGCCCTGGGGCCATGAGGGTTTTGGGATGTCAGCAGTTCCCCCCCACAGGTGCCCCAGGGACCCTCTGGGTGGGCTCCGTGTGGCCCCGCAGTGCCCAACTGCACTGGGACCCCCCCCTCATCCCCCCTGATGGCTACGAGCTGGTGTACGGCCCCCCCGGGGGGCCCCAGCAGGTAATGGACCCCCTCAAGCACCCCAACCCCCCTCAGGGACCTCCCAGGGGGACCCCACCAGGTAATGGCCCCCCCCCCACCAAAATCCCCAGGGGACCCCTCAGGGGCACCCCAAAAATCCCCAGGAACGCCCCGGGGGGCCCCAGCAGGTACCAGTCCCCCTGAGCCCCAAAACCCCTGTGGGACACTGCTGTGGCCCCCCCAGTAACCCCTTGGGGGACTCCAACATGACCTCAGGAGACCCCAGTATCCCCTTGGAGGACGCCAATAGCCCCGTGGGGACCCCAATGCCTCCCTGAGGGACCCCAAAACCCCTCATGGAACACCAATAGCCCCCTGAGGACCCAAATAATGCCTTGCAGGATCCCAGTAACAACCCTGGTGATTTCAATACAACCCCAGGCGATCCCAATAACACCTCAGGGGGTCCCATTTACCCCCCTTTGGGCACCTCAATACCCTGGGGAACCCCAATCCACCCCCCGGGGGACACCAATAACCCTTTGGGCACCTCAGTGACCCCCCCGGGGGCCTCCAATCCTCCCCTGGAACCCCAATCCCCCTCTGTGCCCCCAGACCCTGCAGTTGCCTCCTGAGGCCACGTCGCAGCAGCTGTGGGGGCTGGAGCCGGCGGGACATTATGGGGTGCAGCTGTGGGGCCGGGGGGTGGACCCCCAAACCTCTCCCCTCGAGGCCACCTTTGACACCCGTGAGTGGGGGCAGGGGGGGATGGGGAGGCTCCTTGGGGGGGG